TGTGTAAGCAGACGGGAAGCAGGGCGGTGCTGGGACTGAGACGAGAGGGTATAATTGCAGCATTCTCCTCTGCCGTGTGTAGGGTCAGCGGGTTAAACTCTGCTCATGGATACACACATCCATGAAATCAGGGGCAGCGGCACCTGATGTCATACTTTGACCCTCTGAATCGTTACCTAGGCAAACCCTACTGATTTCAAGGGGTCTGCATGGGGGTAAGTGAAAACACGGGTTGGCCCCTTTCTTGGTTCCCCTTGGAGCCAGCTTGGAAGAGCCCACCACAGCCCTGTGTCTTGTTCTCAGCCTGCTTCCCATCTGCTGCTGAGGAACAGAGAAAGGAAAATGCCGAGCGCGGTTCCTGATCGCACCAATTGAAAGCCCCAGTGCTGGCGGGACCGGCCCAGGGCTACCAGCTTTAAGGAAATTTAAACATGAAGAGAACTAGTGCCTGGGTTCTCCTACCTCCATGCTCAATCTCCAGCCTCCAGGGAAGCCCGCTGGTCTCCGTCTCTGTGTGGGTCAAACTAGCCATCCACTCCTGGCTGCTGGTTCTCCTGGTGGTGATTGCACACGTTTAGTACAGCACAAGGAATAGGCTTCTGCTGCCATCTAGACTTTTCATTAGGAGAAACAAAGGCTTCCCTTGCCAGCCAGGTGCACCCAGGAATGATCTGGCCCTGGGACCAGAAGCATTTCCTGCTTTGGGGCAAGGAAGCTGTAGTTTCTTCTGTTCATCCTCCCTACAATTTCTCCTCCTCATGGTCTTTCCTTCACCACTTCTCCTAAGCACACTGTCTTTCTTCTTTGTTTCCCCTCTCCTGATTCTCCTCCTCCTGACTTTCTCTGCCCTTCTTCTCCTTTCCTTTCCCCATCCCTCCCTCTGTCTTCTTTTTCCATCCTTCTCTTTCCCTCCCCAGCACTTTACCTGTATTCCTGTTTCCCATCGCCTTCTGCAGCCGTCCTTTAGTGGCGCAGAGCAGCGCCTGGAGACTCAAGTTTTCACGCAGCTCTACAACACTGGCTTCCTCGTTGTCTGGCCGTGTTTACTCAGGCTACTCCTGCTACCACATATCTTAATTTAATCACAAGGTAGTCATATAACCGGCTACACAGACAACAACTCAATTGAATTTTACTGTGGCATTGTTGATGTTTAGGGACCCGGCTACTTTTCCATTCAGCAACAGGACACGTAATCCAAACTCAATCATAAAAGCAAACGCCGGCTGAGCAGATGTTAAGCCCAAATCCTCTGTTTCTTACCTATTATCATGAATATAATGATAATATATTCTTTTCACTTTTCTCTAAGCTCTTTCTGGGTAACCCAGTGTCATAAGCACCCATACAGTTGACATGACACCTTCCCGGCATTGTCTTGTCTGAGCTGAGTGAAGTTTTCTGTTCAACCTCCCTTTGCCAAGAGCTAGACATGGTTGATACATGCGATCAGGTTCTGGAAAGTCTTAGGGATTTGGATCCAATCACTGTTAATGCTGTGGCCAAGAAAAGCTGCAGCACAGAACGTGGAAGGAGAGAAAGGAGGCCACGAAGCCTGAGTCTTTGCTCCAATTTGGGGAAGGATTATGGATTTTTGTCTCCCATCCTGGAATATCTGCTGAGCACTTACTTGGAAAGTCCGTGAGTCCATCCTCCACACAAGCAAACCTGCCCTGTGCTATGCTGGACTAGCCCCCTTTCTGCCCAACCCAGGAAATGGTTCCTAGCTGGAACAAATAAGCAACTCCATCTGTCCCTCCGGCACACAGAGACCCTCCTCCCAGAGGCTGAGAGAAAGCTGCCCTCATTATATACAGTACATAAAGAAACTTGCTTTGCACTGAGGGAGTAGCTTTTTAACAGATAGCCCAGCATTTACAGTAATCAAGAATGATTCAATTGACAGGTTTGTGTGGTGTTTGTTAATTTACTTGAGATTCATTCCTGGGAACAGCTGGCTGTATCCCAGCAGGACTGAGGCTCTCACTGGCCCACCTGCTGCTAGACAGACGGGCTCGGGGTACAGTGGTAGTTAAAGTTTAGCAGGCAGATATTTCTGGCCATTAAAAATCCAAAACTTCTTGAAGGACTCATGGGCAGAAAATGTTTTGGAAGCAGAGACGTTGGCTCTAGGCTTTGCAAAATGACTTGACTTGGGTTTGCCGAGCAGTCAAGGAGCTGAGAAATGTGACTGTCATTAGAGCATTGCCAGTTGAATAACCAGAATGACACCACGTAGCAGAAGATTCATAAAGAGACACCTTAATGGTCAATTATGTATAAAGGCTAGAGAGCTTTCAAAGCAGCCTAAGGGAATTAGACACCCAGTTTCCACAGGCATTCAACGGGAAATAGGGCCTTAACTCTTTTAGCCTTCTGTGGAAATCTGTCATCTACATATTCATGTAATATTAATTTTTACATGGTTATTCCTATTTCCTTTAAAAATAATGAGGTTTCTCCTCTACTGTTGATGTGGAAATGGATCCTTAAAATAAAAGAGAAGAAGATGCAGAATTCCACAGTGTTCAAGTAGGTCTTGGCTTGCTCCTTCAAGAAGCGCCAGTTTAGGTTTCAGTGTGATTTGTTTCTCCACTTTGTGAATGTGGCTTGAACCTCCTAAATGCCCTTGGGAGGTCTGAGGCTGGAGGCAGCCTGGTTCATCACCTGGGAGGAGCAGGCCTCTGTGGCAGGAGACCTGGGTTCTGCCCCCAGCTCTGACACCAGCCACCTGCGTGGGGTCTCTGGGCCTATTTCTCCATTTGTGAATTGGGGCGGTGGCACTTACCTTCCCCTTTGTTGGATACTGACTTAGAAATAGCAAACCAATTGCATCCCAGGCATGGCCTTAGCCCCTTGGTCTCAGAAGGGGCTGCATTGCCCGGCGGAGAAGAAGGTGATGGGGGTCCCATTCTTTCCTGTGATCCCTAATTCCAGGGTGAAGAAACCATCCTGCCTCCCTGTTGCCAGTCCCATGGCATCTGGCTTCACAATGGCAGTAAGTGACTAGCACTGTAGGCCTGAGGGCCCTGTCCTCCACCCCCCAGGAAGAGGGCGGTCACCTGAAATGTGTGAAACCTTCCACATGTCCATCATGTTAGCCCCCACCTGCAGAAATGAAAGTGGGTGCCTATGGCAGGAGTCCCTCACCCACCCACCCCACCACCACAGCCATTCCAGTACTCCCATCGTTAGTAGACTGGAGTGAAGGCACTGGGCCAGGCCAGCCTGTGCTCTCTAGTTCCTGGTCCTGCAGACGCTGCCTTTGATCCCTGCTGGGAGTCTCTTTCATACTCAGAATTGCTTCTACCTCTCTGGCCGCTGCTAGGCGGGTGGTGGTTGCAAGAGTCCTGTTTGCTGCTTCAACCTCCACCTTGCGTCCCCCAGTGCTAGTGACCCCACGCGCATCCTGTCAGGGTGGAGATTTCCAGTGTAGGCACCATCCTGGTTTTGGGGCAGAGCTGCACTCCTCATCTCTTGCTCTGAGACGGGTCCTTCTTACCAGTGGCATGCAGCTGGCATGGTGCCCTCGGAGGCTGACCCAGCAGGAACCTCCGAGATTGTGGGCACTGCTGAGGAGAGAGGCTGGTAGCACAGGGTGGTGGGCTCTCTCTCTCCTCCCCATCTCTACTCTGTCGCAGTCATGATGGACCTGGGGACACCGGCCTTGCTAGAGCCAAGATCAGGCCCCCGTGGAACCGTTTCTGAAAGGTCTCTGCACCGCTCGGATGGGGCCCTTCTCCCGCATCTCCAGCAAGTGGGATTGTCAGTTCCCCGCTGAGCTGGCGGGGTCAGGGAGTGTGCCTTCTCTCTGTTTGTATAGCACTGTGTACACCAGTGGTGCTCGAGAAACAATCAGAACAGCAATAAACTCAGTCCCCTTGTCACCTGTGTCAGCCCCAGCGGGCACTGGGAGAATGAACTTATTCACGCTGCCAAAGCTGGGATCCACCTTGCACAGAAAAGGACACCGGATAGGATATGCCCTTTGCATCCTCTGGCTCAGTATCAGTCACCAGTCATTGCCCTAACCACACTCTCCTGGTTTCCTATTTCATGCTGGCTGATTTCCCTCCAGCACTGGGTCCCCTCACACTCCAAATCCACGTGTCCTGCTTGTCAACCTGCCCCGTCCTTCCACCCCTTGCTAGCAGGAACTTTGAAGCCTCAGGCCACACTTGACTGGCATGCCATACTCTCCAGTCCCACAGTGGGTCTGGCACAGACTGGGCACTGGTTTGCTTCTCAAACTTAAATCCCTTAGTGTTCCTCGGTACTAAAAGAGACCAGATTACAACCAGGACCGCAAGGACCTGCTTCCCATCTCGCTACTGGAACCAGTCCCTCTTTGATACTGGGCAAACTGGCTCTGCACAAGTTTAAAAATTTGCTCTTTGCTCATCCTTAATGGCCCTGCTGCCAGAGCAAGCTAGGCTGGCATCTGGGTTAGAGCAACTGACCCCTGTGCTCTGTCACTCTCCGCCGGGCAGAGTCCATGATTGGGACTGGGCAGGGCAGAAGGCTAGAAGAAGAGGCCTCTTCCCCCATCGACTGCTCTTCAGAACAAGCTTCAAGCTGCTATGGCCATATAATAAGGCAGGGGTCCCCAAAATATTGTTCGTGGAGGACCGCTTACTGGACAGAACATCACACTGGAGGCTGCACAGCAAAAGACTTGCAGAAGCTAAATGCACCCCTCGGGAGAACCAGTGTTTGCTAACATTTGTTGAGAGATGCCACACACATGTACAGATATTACACTATTTATCGTCATAATAAGTTGTAGTAATATCACGGCAGAACCTTCATCTTGGACCAGGACCTCACTGTATAGATTCAGAACAACGGATAAACAAGTCCCCACTTTACAGCAAAATGGTTAATTAAAGAAAAACAATGATATTATAGTCACACTTTATTAAGGAACTGTTGATAAAGAGTTAATACAAGACATTTTAAGCATGTTTCTGCAATGGTTATAAGCAAGTTACTGACTCCATAACAATTTATTAAAGTATCCATTTATCTTTCATAAACTATTTATAAATGGAACCTTAATATAAAGTGTGACCTATATAATAGCTAGATTTATTTAACTTGGATGTTTAAATAGGTTGAGTGTAGGTAGAATATTTAATTATATCCCTTAAATATATTCATTATATTTAAGATATATTTAGTTTTATTCAACATATTCTACTGTGATATGAAATGGGTCAATATGTCACTACATTTTCAAAGGAGCTATGAAAGACGTTGTTATGAAAATCAGGGCGAACAAGGGTGCTCTATATCCTTCAGGGACAGAACAAGAAGCAGTGAGCTTCAGTTGCAAGCTGGGAGACTTTGGGTGGGTACTAGGAAGATCTTCCTACCTCTGTGGTTAAGCTTTGGCACAGATCCCCTGGAGAGGTGGTAGACGAAATTCTCCATCTCTGGAGAATCATCTAAAGGGTATTTTAGATGAAACTTTGTCTAGCATGGTTTAGACAGAGGTGATCCTGCCTTGAGTACCAGGCTAGAGCTGTAGTGTCTTCCAGCCTTGTTTGTTCATGGAGCTGCATCCACCCCTGCATTGTGTTTGCTGGGTCCCTGAATGTATTAGGAAAGGCGTAATGCTAATTTTCTCATTGTCCATCCACACACGCTTATTCTGGGGCTCACCTGTTCCTGCAGGGACTGAGAGGCTATGCTATATATATGAAAAGCAGACAAAGTTGTCTCCCCATATCAATCAAAGAGAAGCGAGTGCAGTGGTACAGAGTGCAGAGTATTTGCCTTGGCTATACATTCCTACAAGGAAAAAGAGGGCTGGGTTATGCTCTTTCTGCCAATAGCCTGAAGAAGCTGTCCTGTCATCTATGATGCTTGGGAATCTCACCCTGTGCAAAGGATCAGCAATGTGGCTGCCAAACACATGTAGTGACAACACCTACCTGTATTTATAAGCTCAAACCCAAGTCACTCTCGCTGGCTGAAAATCAGGAATTGAGCCTGCTACTGTGGGATCTGAACAGAATCCATTTGTTACTTTGAAAATCCAGGAGGCTTAGCCAGTTTGCAATATATTAAACAATTAATCATTTAGATTACAGAGCATCCTTAATGCAGACATTTCCTATGAAAAGTATGGCACAGGTGTAGGTCTCCAACAGGGAAGTCCCGGGTGTAAACCTTGGGAAAGCAGTACGGAAAGCACAATGCGAGAGTGGTAAACAGCAGCAGAGCGGGAGCTACTTGCTGCTGGGGAATGTGATGTGAAAAAGGGCTTGGGAAACACTTGGAAAAAGCAGCAGCAAAAAAATGATCCTGACTTTGCCTTGTCCTTTCCTTGCCTGCTGACAAATAACCATTTTCTGTAGCTGGAGGGGCCATGGTACTGCTCACCATCCCATTCAAAATACTGGACCTCATCCGTAGCTGAACAGCAATCAAGAAAGGCTTAACTTGGACTGGTTCATTTGTGTGAGTACCCAATTGTATCACAGGGTGAAGGCCCAGTAACTCACTGGCTTTTAAATCAAGTTTTTAGTGCTTGGAAGTTGTTTCCTCTTGGAACAAAGTCAGATATTTTTAATCCTATTTAATATCTCGCCAGTGTCATGGGAAAAAACCTCCAGTATCAACAAATACTAAATGTGTGGGCTAAACATATCCCTGGTGTAATTGCAATGGAGTTGCATGAGGAAGGAATCTTAATAATACCTACGCTTGTGCAGAGGATGTTTCATCAGTAGATCTCCAAGTGCTTCCCATAAGTTACTCTACTGTGTTACTGTTTTCTAGACGGAGAATCTGAGTCCTGGTCCAGTGCTCTGTCCACGAGACATGCTGCTCTCCTCGCACATGTTTTTTATTGGGGGCTCTTACTCTGCAATTGAGGCTTTATTGTCATGTTTGATTGCTGTTGGAACTAGAGAAGGATTCAGAGCAAAGCTCGCTTGCCCCGGGCTCTAGGAAAGGCTCCAACAAAGCTCCTAGTCCAGTCTGCAATGCTCAGCCCCACTTCCACCTGAAAGAGGACATCCCTCCCCAACATAGGAGGAATGACTGCTGCTTTAAAGGAAAGCAGAAAGAGCCCCCTACACATCTGGAAGAGGATGGGCAGGAAGATTTTATTAGCAAGCAAAGGGGAAAGGAGGGTGAGGCAGGGAGGCAGCGAAAGGCCAGCTAAACCAAGCCCATCAAAATGGTTTGCTGTGGCACAGAAGTGTGGAGCAGGTGTCCAGGAAATGAGTCCTCTGAGTGCTGCTGCTGTATCTGTTGCTTTTACACACAGGCTATGTGAACTTCAATAAACCCAATGTGACCAATTCCAGTTCCACAAGCACCCTGCAGCTCTGACGCGGGAGTGTCAGCTTTGGAAGATGGTCAGCACCGCTAGAGGGCTTACAGCCTATTTAAAGGACTATCACCTGATTTCTGTGCTGTGTAGGTGCCTCCTTGAGAATGAAATGAAAAGGCACAGAGGCGTCAAGATGACAGAGAGAGGGCAGCATGGCTGGTGCAAAAAACTAGGCGCCGATACGGAGCACTGCATCTCACTGACTCTTGCTCGGGCAAATCATCCCATTGTAGTCATGAGCATAAAGGCTTCCGGCCTGTGCCTGCATTTGCTGAATGACCAAAAGCAAATGACTTAACTTCACAGTTCTGCCTCAGTTTCCCTACTTATAAAAGACAGGCGTGAGGTGGGAGAGGACCAAGGAGGGCTGTTACAAGGATTAGAGAGAGTCCTGAAAAGCCTCTCTAGTCCGTATAGACCATCTTCCCTAGTCTGTGTGTTTGTTTCAAAACCTACTCGGTGTTTCTGAGGCCGAAAAGCAGGCCAAGAGGACCCCGGGACTCTGGCCTTTCCCAGCAGAGCTCTTGGACAGAATTCATTTTCGAAAGGTGTTGGGGCTATACAGGTGCCACTTCACATGTGGGCTGGTTACACTAAGAAAATAATCAAACCCCAGGGAAAGTTGAAGCTGTTTAAAATGTCTCGCGTGAATCCCCCCCCCCCCCCCCAAGGGGCTTCCCAATGACAAAAACAGGGGGACCCCCGGCCCAACCCGGAAAAAACTC